ACCCTTTTGACTTGACCGATTCTGTTCTGTTATGTCACATTTGGTTTTACTCTCTTCCAAAAAAGCAACAAGAACCGTGGGAGCAATGAAACCCAAAATGTGTAATAGTCACTGTACAAAAGAGAGGAAAAGAAAGTGCTCTAAACTATATAACTGCATGTATATTTAAAAGTATAAGATAGAAAATGATATCACAGAGTTTTATTGGATCATTGAATAGAACTGTTTGCAGTATCATTGTTGGAATGTCCACTCTACAAGCTTTAATTTTGTGACTTGAACAATTATTTCTAAGATGGCAATATGTAATCCATTAACTAGTGATTTCCTACTGCGCATTTTTTTATTCTGTAAATCTGTATAACTTGTACCCCTTCACTGTTTTTTTTTTCTTTCTTTTCTTTTCTCCTTAAATAAAAATTAAAAAAAAAAATAGCTGCCTGTACCATCAGATATAAAATCAAAACAAAACAGAATAAAACAAAACAAAACAATGAAAATGATATGGGACTTTAAACAGGATAATAGGGAATTAACAATGGTTACCGCCTTCAGAAGGACATTCCTGATAGTTGCTATATTGCATATTGTTATCTTCTAAGTAGATACTCAGACTACTGGCTTTAGGACTGCAAATTCTATTGAACAATATAGGCATTAAGTTGTTTTTTAATCCTGTGGCTATCATCTCAGCCTGTGTTTCTCCAAATCACCCAGTTGCTTTGGCTAGGGTGGGGCTAAGGGGTTGGTGCTCAGCACTTGTCTGCCAGGCCACACGTCAGCTAGCTCACAGGAAGGGATCGGCTTCATCTTGATTCTCTTTCTGGGATGCATCATGGTTGCTGCTGGCGCACAGAAAGGGGTTGGCCTGTCCCATGACCACCACTGCTCACAGGAAGGGACTGGCTGCTTCTTGGTTTTTGTCTTAGGTTTTATGGCTGCTGCTGGCTCACAAGAAGGGGTTGGCTTCTTCTTGGCTCCCTTCCCCGCTCCTTTTTTATCCTTTTCAGTACTAGGAATCAAACTCAAGACCTCATGCTTGCCAGGTACTGTTCCCCTGAGCTGTATCTTCTGCCCTGTCACTATAAATTGTCCCGGTAGTCCATCCATACTTCTCGGTGTTCTGACTTTGGTTCAGCAATCTATCACCTTACCTATTGTGTCTCACATATTTTCTTTTACTTAGTAGGTTCTTGGAAAATAATTATTAATTAAAGGCTTTGAGGACAGTGAACTGTAGTCTCTTTTTAAATTTTCTTTAGGGATTCAGGTGTGTGAAAGTGGGTATGACTTTTGATTGAATATTTAATTCATTGTAATGTGATAATTTAGGGTATACTAAGGATATTGGACATGCTTTCATATTCAAGGTAGAAATTTATAGGTATTATTAAGTATGAATAACACAGATATACCTGTTACTCTGGAAATTGTTTCCTTATACTTGTATGAATCATTTAAAGTTTTTATTTTGTGACTTCTTAAAAGATGTTTTTAGAGTTGTATCAAGTTTAAATGCCTGGGACAAAGTGACTTTAGGATGATTTTAGTGTGTATGTTTTGAAAGTATGACGGCGAAACTATGCATTTGAGTGAGTCAGATTTGGAAAATGTGGAACAAGAAAAGTAAACACTTGGCCTTAGTCTTTCCCACCTAAAACTGTGCATTTTATGTTCCTGTCTAATGCATGTTATTTGTCCTCGCTGATCTCATTTCATGGAGTGCCTTTTTTCCCCCTACTGGCTACTGGTGACCTTTTATGCAGCTGTCTAGCTCAGCAGCTTACTTCCAGCCAAATGGAATCACAATTCCCACATCGCTTGGCTTACTATTCCCCCTTCCCTGTGAATCAGCAGATGTGGGTGACGTCATCTTTTCATTTGGCTGTCTCACTGGTGTTAAATGTCGCCTGCCAGAAGTCAAGCATGGCCAGTTGGCTTCTGCAGTTTTTACTGTTATTTACATCCATGGAAGTTTTCAGTGAGCAAAGGATTTTAGCTACGGCAGTTTGGTTTTAGAACACCAAACCAAATCAACTCAGGGATAAGAGCTGGAGTCTGTTACAACTGCAACTGGATTAGTGGTTAAATCAGTGTCTTTGAAAAATCTCACAGTGACTTTCGAAATCTGAGTAAGATATTTTCAGTTTTTAGAAAAGGTATTTAAAAAAGGTGGATGAACTTGATTAGTAAACTCAGGCAGTAGTGACAAACCTAGATTTAGTCTCCAGCCACCCCCAATTAAAAAGCTTAGAAAACATATTTCTATTTTCTTATACAAAATGTATTTATACAATATGTTAAAATTATATTCATAGTATATTTTATATTTGTATTAACATGCTTATGCAACTGTTATTTACAAAATATGTAAAATTTTATCTATAAAATTATAAAATCTGTAACCCCATGTAGCTGGTTTATAACAGCTGTTCTCTCCTTACTTTGAGTGTGATTTGCTAGCTTTTGAGAATGAGCTGTGCTTATAGGACTGTCTGAGGACCAGTGTGCCCCTGCCATTGTCCTGCCCCTCAGCATGGGAATAGACTGTGTCCTGAGGTGGACAGAGTGGTAGTGACACTGTCAAAGAAGACAGGACAGACTTAAGCTACCTCTTTAGGTCTTGAAAGGGAAGTGACACACACATTACATTGAATCCCACCACTCAGCAGACATCTCCATCTGAAGGTCTCAAAGACATCTTTCACTTTTTAACCTTTTGTTCAAAACTAATCTTTTAATCCCCTGCTTGTCACCTGAACCTGGGGCCCCTGTAGCCCCTGTCTTTGATGAGGCCTCTCTGACCTCTCTGTGGCTCCCGCTGGAACCCCAGGTCATCTTTGACACCCCCTTCACTGCACTCCGCCATCCCACGTGGAACAGTCCTGTTTGCCATCTCCAGAAGACATCCCCAGCACACCCTCTTCTCCCGTTTCCAGTACCATGGCCTTCCCATTTCTCTTCCTCTCTGCTCTATCTAATGTCTTTCACCTGTGCCCATGGCACCTAGAAAACAATAAGAACCGCAGTCCCCCAGCGATGTCTCCAGCTCACAACTCCAGTACCACCTTGTCCCATGCCTTCTTCCCGCTTAGATGTTCCGCACAAATCCACTCCTTGCTGTGACTCTGTCTTAGCTTAACTGTCTCCTCTGAGAAGCCCCCTAGTCCCATAGTCTTAAATTAGGTCTATCTTTTGCTTTTTTCTCAAAGTACTGTGCTTTGTTCTCTCTGACATTTAATATTTGTAATCATTGCACAGCTATTTATTTTTTAATCTGACTTTCTCATTAGATCACGGTCCTAATGTTTTTCTCCTTCATTGCAGTTTAAGGTTGTTGGTGGCTTTCTTGATCAGAAGGCATGAGTTAGTGCTCCTACTATATTTGCTTTTATGGTTTCTCACTGGTCCTCGTGCAAAAGAGAGAGACAAGGAAAGGAGAAAGAAATAATTTATTGCTGGCATGGAGGGGCTGCCGGGAGCATCCTCTGAGGGAGACAAAGTAAACCGCATACTTTTATTTCCTATTGACAGGGATGGAGTTAAAGGGGGCGGGCGGAATGACATACTGACAGTTGATTGGGGGAGTGCAGGTGCGCGTGAAAAGCAGAAAGTTCAATTTTTCGGGTTTGCAAGAAAAATGCAGAAGTCAGTGGTTAAAGGCAGGTACTGTCAAGCACCATGATGACTGGGAACAGCACACATGGGAAGAACCTTTCAGCTTCATCTGATTCCGAATGTCCTAGTGTTTGCTGTTAAGAGGGTCAGTACCAGTTATGCTTACTTTGTAGTTCTGGGCACTTCTTTAAGCATTTAATTTTAAATTACTACTGAGACTTGCCTCAAGTGGAAAAGGGAATGTATCCAGTGTATGAGCCCTACTGCACCGTGTAGACTAGCAAAAATAATCTGCTTTGATAATAAGAAAGATGTGTTTTCCTCCAATGGTGTGCTAAATTGCAGATCCTATGTTACTTTCTGTCATACAATGATTTAGATTGAATCATCGGTGAGGCTGTAGCTACCACATTAAAATGTGCTTTTCCAAAGTTTGTTTCATTTCAGAGGTAAAAGAAATGCAGACATGAAAAGACACGGTGGAAGGGACTGCACCAGCCCCTTACTTGGTGGCTGGACAGAACCCAGTGTGCCTTCCATGGCTGGTGGGTTTCTACTGTGTGAGAACAGTTTGGGGAATGCTGGCCTCTCCACAAAGCCAGGATGTGTTGGTTGATTTTTAGGGGGATGTCTTTCTCTAGACTCAGTAGCTGAATGCTCTTAGAACATGATTTCTTACTGTTTTCTTCTTAATTAAAAAATACGTATATATAGATTGTAACACATGGCAACCTTTTCATAATTGCATTTCTGCTAATTTGAAAACTGCTACAAAATGTGCATAGTTGAACTCTGTTGTTTGCTGAGAGTTTTGCTAATAGCTCAGGCTGGCAGCCTGCCCCAGGGATAAGGGTATTGCTTTCATTGTGTGCTGGGGTGGGACATAACACATACTGCAGCCATATGCCCTGCATGAAGAGGAGGCTGGTGCTTATTCCAAATCTATGTATTTAAACATCTGGGCAGAAAATGCTAGGTGGACCTGTGTGGCGTGCACCACTAATTAACTGCCACATCTAGCGGGAAACAAGTGCTGCCCACATGGAATAATTAGACACTATTCTGATCATTTACGTACAGCACTTTTCTGTCTTTAAAGCACATCTACACGCTCTGTGTCATTGGATGCTCACAACTCTATGGAACAGGTTAAGGGGAGAGGACTGGTGTTGTTAGGTCTCCTTTACTGATGGGAGAGCTGAGCTTCACAGGAGCTCTGAGGTCCTTCCAGGGGCATAGCTGTTAAGTGGCAGGACTAGCATGCAAAGCCATGTCCTAAACTCTAAGACCCCAACCCTGAATTTCATAGCACACATTGTAGATTCCTGTGCAGCTGGAATGTTGGCCTACAGGCATCTTACATGTAACCTCTGCTCTCTTAGCTCTGGAAGAGACCCTGAAATTTGACCTGGTGGCTGAGTCTGGAGCCTGGCCCTTCCAGCCCTGCCCCGTAAGTTGCACTCTTTTAGCATTTCTGAAGGCTTGCCTTACCACTGACCTTGCCTCACCTGTCCCTCTGCTTCCACTTTCCTTTCATGGCATCATTTTTTCTGAGTCCTTTCTTGGCTTCATCATGAAAACATTCCCTGCTTCCCTTCTGTGTCTGTTATTCAGCCCGTAACCCGAAACTTCTCATCAGCAAGCTCATTAATGGTGTCCAAGCACCCATATTTAGTACTCTTTCTGCTTGGTCTCTGTGCAGCCTCTGCTTCTGTGACCCTGTCACCATTTCCTGATTGTGTCCTCTCGTGACTTCTGGGCACCTTCTCTTTTGGCTGCAAGTACTCTTCTTCCACTCCCACCCTATAAATACCAGGGCTCCCAGGGTTGCCCCATGGCCTGGCATGGAAATAGATTAGCCTGTAGGCCATCTCCTCAAGTCCAGTGGTTACCTTTGTCACTGGATGAGGTCTGAGGTCTCCCCTAAAGAGGGGGACCTCAATTTGCCCTAGGTAGGTTCTTGATGCTCTTTATTAGAAAAACATTTCAGGATGTGTCAGTGACAGGTGGAGGCAGATGTATTAGTCAGAACTAAAAAAATATACACACTTAGAAAAGAGCCCTTGGAGTATCCTAGAGATGTATGATCTAGGATGTTTATCCTTTGAGTCTTCTTTATTGCTCACCTAATGTCTGTCACAGTACTTTGGGCTAAAGCAAAAGACTAATTTTATGAACTAGGGTAAAGTTCAAACTATTTGCATGTATTCAAAATTTAAAGATCAGTATGCAGCTACTAACATTGCTTCCTTGAGGATGGAAATCTATAGAATTTGTGGACTGACAGAACACAAGCCCAATTTATGCACTTACAACATCTTTAAGATTCAGGATTTAGGAGTGAGGAGCCTGAGGCGGGTGGAGGAGACAGGGTTAGGAGTGAGAAAGCATTGTAACCTTGGGTAAATGTGATTGTGTCTTGAAACTTCAGTTCTCTCAAGATTAAAATTTCTTTGACCGCCTTTTACCATCATTATTTTTTATCCTACCTCATCTCTGTCATCAAAAAGATGACCACTGCCTGGATCTCTAGTTCCTGATTTCTCCTGAAGTTATTGCCTATTGTGTCATACCATGCCAAAAATAAAGCTGAAACTCTCTCAGTCTGTTACAGCAGAATGATTCTCCAGTTTCGCAAAGTAAAAACCTTGGGGTCTTCATCGGGGGTCATCAGGTAACCTTGATGCTTTTATTGTAGAATTATTTATTGTGGCCTAATTAGCCTCCCTTTTGGTTCCATTCCACTTCTACAGTTACTTGCCTCTTCGTTTAGTTTGATAATAGCAGTCTCCTGATTAAAGGTCCCTGTCCCTGCCCATCTTCCTTACGGAGAGCGAGCAACTTCCCTTCCCAATCATTGGCATGTGTGATGCATGCAGCAAATGGTCAAAAATATTTCTGTGCAGTAAAGAAGAAGAAAGATTATTAGAGATGAGGAGAGAATCAGGGAAGAAAGAGGGGTGAGAATAACAAAGTTAGCTATGTACAAGTGCCAGTATGCAAAATGAGATTAATTATTCTACATAACAATGTGCATTAATAAAAAATTTCTTTTAATTTGTGAATGGATGAATCTGGTTTGTCTCCTTGCTAACTGTCCAGTCCCTGTGACCTGCCACCATGCACTTGGGTATTCAACTCCTTGCCATTCCCAGACATCATTTACTGTTTCTGCCATTTTCTTTGGTGTCCTTTATTGAGTTTCTCAAACCTGTTTTCTCTTGGACACCTGATAATGTTCTCTTCAATTCTCAAGGTGTAGTTTTGTCTTTTTTCCCATTTTCTTCGTTGAATTCAATTATTCATTGTAATCCGAACCTTTTTTTCCTATCTCTTTTTCTATGTTTTGTACTTCTGATTTTAGGTATTGTTTTCTTTGTAAAATTCTCTAAGGTTTGTGTGAAGGTATATAATTTGATTTTGAGTGTTACGTTATAGTTTTTCTCTGCTTCTGGATTTTTTGATGGGCTCATTTTCAGCATTTGCTTAGTTTTGTTCCTTTTTTAAAAATTTCTAAGCATTTTGTGGATTTTTGTTTAAGACTCACTCTCTTTCTGGCAGCATAAGGAGATTTGATTTCTTTAGTAGTTAGTGGCAGTAGTGGTGGCGGTGATGGCAGATGGCGAGAGTCTGACGTATCTTGAGTCTTTTTCTTTGGTGCAGTATCCTTACATTCTCCCTACCCTTTCACTGCCAAGGCGCCACTGTTTGTAGTTTCTTTTCCAGAAGTAACACTTCTTCAATCGCTTACTGTGTCTCACCTTCAAGCCCTCTCCTAGTGACAGCCAAAAACTGTCAGGTCTCAGACTTGTATTTTGCTGTGTTGGTGCCTACCACAAAACTTATATCTCTTTAGGGGCTTTTTAGTCTGTGCTCCATGTCCCCTGCCTGTGCATTTTCCCCACCTTCCTACCCCCTGATTTGCAGCAGCAGCTGGAGCATTATTGGAAGTTAGGGTATACTTCTTGGCTTCTGGGGGACTTAAAGTGTGTGGTGTCATCTGTCCCTGATAATGCTGAGTGGCTTGGGTCTCCTGATAGCATTTGCCCTCTTGTTGATTCTGTGGTCTTTTGGGAAAAATATGTACAGTGTTTTGGATTCATTAAGCAGCCCTTGTGTCCCATACCTAAAAGCTTCTACAGGGAAAGCTGTAATCTCCCTATGTGTGGATGAAAAACCAGGACTCCTGAAAGCTTAGTAACTTGGCCAGGATTGCTCTGATAGTATCAGGGTTTAAGAACATTGTGTGTGTGTGTGTGTGTGTGTGTGTGTGTGTGTGCACGTGCGTGTGTGCACATACACATGCACATGCCTACAGATATAGATACAGCTTCAGAGGAGAAAGTTTAATACCGTATAATGAGGCTTGCCTAGGACTGGGTTCAATCCCCAGTACTACAATCAGTAAAACTTTAACAGGGAAGAATAGAAAAAAATGTACAGAAATCATTTAATATCTTCCTACTTTCCTTCATCTTTTTACCTGTGTTTCATGCTTGAACTTGAGGAACTTCCTACAGAGTAGTTAAGCACATTTCTTGACCCACTCAGGCTCACATAGTTTTGCATTAAATTCTTCTATTTTCCACAACTCTGGTTCGTGTCTGTATGCTGTCCACATCCAGACACTGACCTTTTGGCACATTTCTAAATAAACACTTGTCATAAAAATCCCTAACTGAATGATTCAACCAGAATCTCGTATCAAGGTACTTAAATCCATAATGGGTCCACCTCCAACAGGAAATAGTTCTGAGCTGCATAGCTGGGTTATCTAACTGCTGCCAACCACCTATACTGATATCACTAGTAAACACTTGACATTTCAGACATAAAGTAATAGCGATAGCCGGTAATACTTTGTTGAGAGTACTGTGTGCTAGGAATCACCATCTAAACTTTATCATGACACCCAGGAAGGTTCTACAATAATTTCCATCTTTAGATGATGGAAACAGATGCCTGGGTACTTATCGAGAAGCTGGTAAATCTGACTGTGCTCTTCACAGCTATGTAGTGTGATTTCCAAGCTGAATTCAGAAGCTTCACTCTACAGCATCTAGCTTAGCATTCCCTTTCGTGCTAAATGAAATGCAATCTGCAAATTGGGAGACATTCTTGGTACCATCTTCTTTCATTTGCCAGTATACCTCAGTTTATCTTGGATAACTGTCTTTTTTTACTCCAGTGTTCAAGGCCTGCCAGTGACTTCCCCTTGTGCTCAGAGTGAATTTAGTAATCTCTACTCGACCTTGAAGGGCCACTGCTTGTCCTCTGGGCTCACTCACTTCTCTTGACTAACAAGGGCATACTTGTCCTTCCTCAGCTCTTTTCCTAAAACTTTCCTTAGCTCTCCTTCCCCTGAGGAACCTCCGCCTCCTGCTTTCATTTTAGATGTCATTTCCATGGAGCAGATGCCTCAAATCCTGTGATGTGAATCAGGACCCCCTTTATGTTCTCAGATTCCTCCTCGCACTGTCCCAGCACTGAACACCATTTATGAATGTGGACTCATTGGTGGGAATGTCAGTCTGGTACTTGCTTGCCCTATCCCACAGTGTTCTCAGAAGCCTGGGTGCCATGTTTGTCATGTTCACCCTTGAACTTCAGCTCTAAGCACTTGGTAGACATTTAGAAAATACTTAAATTTAAAAAAAAAAAAAAGAAGGTAAGTAGCATATTCAGTTCAGCTTATACCTGGGTATGAGATGAGCTGGGATGGCACCTCTCCTTTCTGATTCTCCATGTTTGTCTAGAAGAAACCTAAGGCCCTCCAGGCACAGGCCCCACCTGAAGCCCAACAAGAGATTGAGTAGGGGCTCAAGGAACTGATGGTGATCTGTACTGGACGTCTAAGAACTGAAGGATCCAGATCTCTGCTCTTTCTCAGTGGGAGAATCTGTTGTGATCCCTAATTGGGGTGGAAGGTTTGAATTAGACCTAATTTGTAAAGTTTGTATTTGGTAAGCCATCAGTCTTTTAGTAAAGTCCAACTTAGCAACAGTTACTATGATATCGTTTTCTTCTTCTTTTTTGTCCTGTTCCTTTCAACTAGAGGAATATCTGTGTTTAATTTTCTGTGGCATAAAATCCCATTAACTGTGAGTGTTCCGTTTTCTATTTGCAAGGACTCTCCATGAGATCAGAAAGGAGCTTGTCAGGGATGCTTTGTGCTTGATTACTTAGAGGAGGCAGCACCCACTGACAGCCTCTGCAAAGCTGAGGTACATCCTTGTGACCATCTAACCTCTCTCCAGGATACCTGTCTTGGGTATCTTTTTAGGCCTGCTGTAATTTTGGTTTCAAAGGCAGCTGTTTTTTCCTGTCATACATTCTTCTTGCCTAAAGCAGAGAAGCTACAGAAGAGCCACAGTGATTTAAATTCTAAATTCCTGTAACAGTGACAGTGCCTCGTAGGCACTGGTGCCAAGTGCAGACAATTTCCTTATT